CCAGGAAAAAAAAAATTATTAACTTTCTAAAAGAACACAAGGAAATATTAAAAAGTTTGTACAGAAGAAAAAAATCAAAGATTAGTCAAGGACAGAACAGAATGTCAGGACCCAAGGCTCACAGGAGAACACTCTGGTGCTGGCAGTGACTCGGAAGCCCCAGGAGGATGCATCCCTTGCTCAGAATCGAAAGATCCTGTCAGGTGGCGAACCCCACCCAGCCCCCAGTTCGTGAACCTTTATTTAAAGAAATGAGTGGCTCCGGCAGCGTTTGACTTGGGATCTCCTTTAAGTACCAAGAAAACAAAGTCAGGTCCATGTGGAGTTAAGGAAAAAAGAAGTCTGAAAGAATCCCAGTAGCTCAGAGTTTTAAGCCACTGTTGTGGCTTGAGTGAAATGGACCCCACAAGCCCATAGGAGTGGCACTATTAGGAGATGTGGCTTTGTTGGAGGAAGTGGGGGAGGGGCTTTGAGGTCTCAGATGCTCAAGCCACGCCCAGTGTAGCAGTCACTTCCTGCTGCCTGTGCATCCAGATGTAGAACTCTCAGCTCCTTCTCCGACACGACGTCTGCCTGTGTGCTACCATGCTGATAATGGACAGAACCTCCAAACTGTAAGCCAGCCACGTTTAAATGTTCTCCTTTGTAAGAGCTGTCGTGGTCACGGTGTCTCTTCACAGCAATAGAACCCTGCGACAGCCACAGACCTCAGTCAGTTTTCCATCACGGTGACAAACAACTTAAAAGGCAGCGGGGTTTATTTGGACCCAAGGTCACTGAAGTTCCTGTTGGTGGCCATGACCTCTCTGTTATGGACCCGCAGTGAATGAACTCAGCAGGGGAAGGCTGCTCCCTTCAGGATAGCCAGGAATTATGAACACATCTCAGAAGCCTAGCTCCCTTCTAGAGGTTCACAGCCTCCCAGCAACACCACAAGCTGTAATGGGCCTTGAAGGGAAAGTCAAGCTCCAAACTGTAGCAGTGATTAACATTTTTTATTATATTGGGAGTGGGGGGGCAGAGCTGTGTGGGATATATGTGTGTGTTGTGGTATGGTGTGGTGTGCGGGGAAGCGGGAGAGGGTACCTGCATGCGTGTGCACACATGCATGTGTATGCATGTGCGTGTGTGTGTGTGTGTGTGAGAGAGAGAGAGAGAGAGAAAGAAAAAGAGAAAGAGAAAGAGAAAGAGAAAGAGAAAGAGAAAGAGAAAGAGAAAGAGAAAGAGAAAGAGAGCGTGTGTGGAGATCAGAGAAGAACCTGCTGGAGTTAGTTCTTTCCTTCCATCATAGTAGGATTGAACTCAGGTTTCCAGGCTTGGCCACTGAGCCATCTTGCCAGCCCTGTCTTCCCCAGTTTTTGATAGCAAAAGACATACTGCTTTCAAAAGCAATTGCTGAGCCCTCTTCCTATTCTCCACACACAGATGTGACCACTCATCGTCTATCAAGGGCCAGCCAATGCTTGTGAGGACATCCTTATATATGAACTAGGGTAAGACCAAAGAACTCTATCTCTGATCAAACAGACCTGGAGCAGACAACCAGAGGCACACATTTTCCGCTAGGCACAGAGGCTTGAACCATGAGTTCAGGGCCAGCCTGGTCTACAAAGTAGGTTCTAGGACAGTCAGGACTATCTAGTGAGACCCTGTCTCAAAACAAAACAAAATAAAAAACCCTGTAGCTGGGCAGTGACGGCTCACATCTTTAATCCCAGCATTTGGGAGGCAGAGGCAGGTAGATCGCTGGGAGTCTGAGGCCAGCCTGGTCTTCACAACTAGTTCTAGGACAGTCAAGGCCACACAGAGAAACCCTGTGTGAAAAAAATAAAATAAAAAAGGAAGGAAACAAACAAAAATCCTAACACTTACTATGAAAACAACCAAACGTGTCATTTACAGCATGTAAATGTACAACATGCTGTAAACTAGTTCCTGAGGGTGGAGCCCTTGTCGTGGGGTTAGTGCCCTGAGATACCCAGAGAGCTTGTTTCTGGGGACCCAGTGAGAAGGTCTCTGTTTGTATGCCAGCACGAGGATTGGGCACTCAGCATGCGCCCTTCGAGCCTCTAGAGCTGCGAGAAATGCGTTATCTGGGCTACACAGCCTATGGCAACATTTGTGTGACTGCTGGGACCAGCTAGGACTTCAGAGTTTAATGTAAATCTCTATACTCACTGAGACCATGGGAGCCTTTACTTTACTGTGCCCACAGTCTCCACAGTCACTGAGAAGTGTTTCCAAGTTTATAGAGAATGAAGAAAAATTAGGAGGTTAACCTAAACCTTTTTAGTGAGAAAAAAAATGGCTGAGCTACAGGCAGGCCTTCATTTGAGAGAGTATTACACTGCCACTTACAGATAATATTGTGGAGGGCTGGGCAGATAGTTCAGTGAGTAAAGACTTGTCAGCAAGCTTGAGGAACTGAGTTCAATCTGAAGGACCCATCTGATAGAGGAGAAAATGGACTCTGACTTCTACATGCATGTCATGGCGTGCACACGCAAACACACACACACACACACATGAAAAAATAAGTAAATAAAATTTAAGGAAATCTTTTTTATGTAAGAAAATGCTAATAACTAAATATCACATTTTTAAAATTATATATATAACCTGGAATTTGAAAGAAATTTAGGGGAAACTGCAAAGTTCTGAGTATCTTTCTATCTCCCTTGTTCAGGAGGACTCATTCCACTCATTGGAGGTTTATAATATTCTTTTTTTTATATTTTTATAGTTTTTAATAAACCAGGTGTAAGATTAAAAAGTAAAAATGTTTCAGATGCCAGACCATGACATACCACCCCACCAAAGCTTCTGATTTTTGTCTCATTCCATTCATATTCTCAGGCATATAAACAAACCACAAATGACATGAAACATAAAATATGGATGTCATTTGCTTTAGGAATAAACTGGGGAAATAACAGAAAAATTTTTTTCTGTTATTTTTAAAAATACAGAAAAATGGTTTTCATAGTAGCTAATTTTCCTCTTTAGGCACTAAGACACACTTCTGTCTGTGATCATAAAACTGTATTTTCACTCTTTACAAAAGTCATCTCCCAATATAAACGTGGATATTTCATCATGCTAACCTCTAAGTGGCATCACTAAGAAGGTAGTTATTTCTAACCTCTTGAACAACCTGCACAATTGATTTTAGTCACTGGAATGCAGCACTGCTTTGATTCGAATCAATGTGATTTGGTAGTTAATATTTCTCTTTTCCAGTAAAAAAGATTTCATGAGCAGAAGCCAGGTTCCTGTGACTTCATCGATCAAGAGAACGTTTCTGGGCAGCTTCTGAACAGACATTTCTTAGTAAGTTGATTACAGATCTGGGGTCGTCACTCCTCATGATGGCACTGCTCCTGCCTCCGCACACTTCTGAACAGTGTCAGGACCTACTCCACCATCGACCTCTATATCCAGAGTTGGGAACTGGGTCCTCAACCAGTGAACCTTGGGCATCATATCTTCCATGAACTTTTGGCTTCCAAACCCAGGTTCTACCGTCATTACCAAGGCCATATCTATTTGATTAGCCCATGGGGCCAAATATTCAACTGTCGTTCCTGGTTTAATGGTAAGGCCAACCTTCATCCCATTCTCCCGGATGTCTTTAATCAAAGCCCCTGGGTTTTCAATTGCCTCAAGATGAAAGGTATATTGATTGGCACCTGCCACGGCCATTGGCTTTACCCACTGTTCCGGCCTAGACGCCATCATGTGCATATCAAAGAAAGGGTCCTGGCCTAGCTGCTTTCGAAGACTTTCAACCACAGGGTGACCAAAAGTGATGTTGGGAACAAAATGCCCGTCCATTACATCCAGGTGCAGGTAGTTGGTCCCCGAGTCCAGCATGCGCAGGCACTCGGCCCCCAGGTTGGCCAGGTCGCTGTTGAGGATGGACAGGCCGATCTTGCAGCCGATGCCATGGTGCCAGTTCCCTAGAGCCTATAATATTCCTTATAAAGACTTGAATACTGTTCTTTTGTTCATGTGTGATATGTGTGGGTGTTTAAATATGCATGGGCTTACATGTGTGTCAGGCTAGCGTGTATATGGAGGGCTTAAATTTACATGGGGTGTCTTCCTCAATCATTCACTTTATTTATTGGGGCAACATCTCTTGCTGAACCCAACCCCCAATGATTGTCTGGTCTAGTTAGTCAACTTGTCCAGGGGAATTCCCTGTCTCTGCCTCCCCAGTGATTTGAAACAGAAGCTATACATGATGCATCTAGCCCACACAATAAATAATCTTTGAATCAGCATGGTACCTCTTTGTATAGGATAAGTAAGAGGGATTTATTTATATATTTATTTATTTATTTAGAGACAAGGTCTCACTATGTAGCCCTGGCTATCCTGGAACTTGCTCTGTAGCCCAGGCTAGCCACCTCTTCTGCCTCCCAAGTGTAGGATTAAAGACGTATACCAGGCTGAGTTTACATTTTTAAAGGTACATTTAAATATCTAAACACCATGGCACAATTGCAACCCTAAAACACTGAATGAACCATAAATCCCTAAAGTCTAAATGGAGGTACAGCCACTGGCCTGCTTGTTTTAAAGAAGAGACTGGAGAGATGGCTCAGTACTTGCTGCCCTTTCAGAAGACCAAAGTTTGGTTCCCAACACCACACTGGTGGCTCACAATCACCTGTAACACCAGCTCCTCCTCTGCACACACAAATGCACATAAAACTATTTTAAGCTTCTAAAGGATGAGATTTTTTTTTAAGTGGGCTCTGACATTAAAGACAGTATACTTCTTAAATGAGTGTCTATGACTTTTATACTCGGGAAAGTGATGGGTGGGGTGGGTATTCCATGACAACAAGGGAGAAAGCTTCAAAGCTAGGCTGGTGGAACTCGCCTGAGTCCCAGTTATTTAGAAAACCAAGGCAGGAGATTCAGCCAGTGAGACATAGTAAGACCTGATCTCCAAAATCCAAACCACAAAAAAAAAAAAAGCGCCAACTCACCTCAAATGCATAGGCTTTCCCAATGCCATCTCCTGCTCCGGTGATCACTGCAAGAAACAGTGACAGACTTGAAGCAACAGAACGGTGCAGCTCTCTCTCACACAGCTACAGTCTCTTGTACAACTCAGTCTAGAACTCTCAATACTACAAAGCCACGTTTTTCCTCTCCAGCTTTGGTTCTCCCTTACAGAACACCTGAAGTAAAGGGTTTTTCTGTCTGTTTTGGGTGCAAGGGGTTGTGCGTGTCATTTTCAGAGGGATCTGTATATCTAGAAAACACACTCTGAAATGCAGCAAAGCTTAAACCAACAAGTATTTTATCCAGGTTTCTTAAGGTTTGGGGTAGCGCAAGCCTTAGCACCTCCAGGGCAAGCAAGTGAACCGTTATTGCTTCACCCTGCCCAGTGGTTACCCTAAGAACACCTCAGTGTTCTGTCTGAGAAGTAAAGTCTGGACCCTCCCTTCCTTCACCCCGCAGGACAGCATCCCTCAATGCCTGTGGAAGATATGGAACCTAGCGAAAAGGACACAGGAATGAGGGGCGCAGAAACTCAAGGACTTTAGACAGCTAATCCTCGATACCACTATCTGCTAGTACCCGACAATCTCAAATGCCTTTACATTCTTCCTTCCTAAAATTGGAGACAGAATGCCACAATTCACTACACATACCTGTGACTGACCTTGGCACCAGCAATTGAAGGGCACACTTTTAAAAATGCCAACAACAACAAAAAAATCCATTAAGTTTGTTGAGCATGGATCTCATGATATTCTCTCTGTGTGTTTTCCAGCCTTATAACTGGGGTTTTCGTCCCCTTCTTGAAATATTTCCCCCTGCTGGTTTGTCTGTGCCTGAAGACATTACATATTTGTTCATGATAACATTATTCATTCTTGACTCCCAAACAAGCTAAGATTATATTTTTCACTTTGAAGCCACAGAGTCTCTGGCTCCATTTTAACTGCTTTTGGGGCAGGGTTCTTAGAGGGTCTACGTGGGCAGCGCTTGTTGAGATGTCTGGTAGCTCCAGGAACATGGGTATTTGATTGTGCATGGTAGGATATTCGGATCTAGACCACACAAGCCCAGGCAGCTTAGTAAGTGCTAGAAGCAGCAAACACATGTGCACATACCATATAGCTGTGCACATACCATATAGGTGTGCACATACCATATAGGTGTGCACATACCATATAGGTGTGCACATACCATACAGGTGTGTACATACCATATAGGTGTGCACATACCGCATAGGTGTGCACATACCATATAGGTGTGCACATACCACATAGGTGTGCACATACCATATAGGTGTGCACATACCATATAGGTGTGCACACACAGTGTAAGTATAAGAAGCGTCAATTAGAAACTCAGGGGTTCATCCCAACAATTTCCCATATAGTCATTTAAAAAACATCTATGACAAAGTTTGCAAAGTTGACAAGTTTAGTGAATAAGGGCATGGAATGCATTTTTTAAAAAGTAACATTAGGACTTCAAATTTTTTGAAATACCCTTTAGCAAAATGGATGCACACCAATCCAGGGTTTAGAAATCTGTAGATGAAGAGGCAGGTATTTCTGCCTTATTTATTATTTGTGTTACCAGAAAAACTCCAATAAGAAGAAAATCTAGCAAAGTAACAGACACAGGGGTGAGAACTGAGGGGCAGTCTCCCTCCACCATCTTCTGATTCAGGCCTTGATGTTCAGATAGTTCTAATTCCACTCAGGCTATCTAGCCACGCCATTGCACTTGTCTCAGAGGAAGTCTGAGACATAAGAAATAGGAGCAATCAAATCAGTATACTTAGGGGTCTTCTTACCTGCCCATTGTCCCATCGATCGCAGGAAAGACCTTGGTAAAACCTTCCAGAAGCTCAGCAAGAGGTACTGGGAAAGCCTCACACACTTCAGCAGGCAGAGCAGGCACACAAGCAGCCCCACAAAAACGAAGGCTTGCTCCATGGTCTTTCCGTGGCTGTCTTGCTGGAGATGCCGCTAGGACCTGGCCCTTGCCCCCTGTGTGCCTCCCAGGACAGGCAGCCTGGGGACTTGCCAGATCTCCTTCTGGGAGGCACTGGGTGTGTTCCTCAGATTAGAGTAACTTCTCTATGTAACCTTGTGATTCACAAGCTTTTGAATCAAGTATTCTTCATAATATCTTTCCAGCATGCTTGGGCTTTTGTGACAGTGGAGTTACTGATTGAAACAGAGTGTAGACTTGCAGAAAAGCAAAGCCCAGAGAGAGGTAATATGACAGGAACACTAGGGTCTGGAGTCTCCAAAAAGCCTCGGTCTTATGACTTGGTCTCCAAGGGTCTCTGTATTAAACGCCTGATCCCCACGGTGTTAGTGATGTGGGACGTGATGGATCTTTTAAGAAATGGGGCCCACACTTTGGAGATAAATATGGCAGTTTCTCAGAAAATTGGGAATCAATCTACCTCAAGACCCAGCTATACCACTCTTGGTCATACACCCAAAGGATGCTCAATCATATCACAAGGACACTTACTCAGCTATGTTCATAGCGGTTTCGTTCATGATAGCCAGAACCTGGAAACAACCTAGATGTCCCTCAACTGAAGAATGGATAAAGAAAATGTGGTGCATTTACACAATGCAGTATTCCTCCGCTGTTAAAAATAATGACATCAAGAAATCTGAAGGCAAATGAATGGAAGGAACTAGAAAAAAATCATTATGGATGAGGTAACCCAGACCCAGAAAGACAAACATGGTGTGTACTCACTTATAAGCTGATATTAACTATAAAGTGAAGAATGAAGAATGGCCATGTTACAATCCATAGACCCAGAGAGGCTGGGTAACAAGGAGGGTCCAACTGGGGGAGACACATGATTCTCCCTGGGAAGGGGAAATAGATCTCATGGGCGTACTGGGGGCAGGTGGGGGTAGGAACATGAGGGGTCAGGTTGGAAGGTGGAGGGGGAGAGTACTGAAAGAGATGACTGGAAAGAGAAGGCAGAAACCAGGCACAAGGAAAACTCCTAGTAATCTATAAGAATGACCCCAGCAAAGACTTCTAGCAATAGTGGATACGTAGCCTGAACTGACCATTTGCTGTGACCAGGCAAGACTTCCAGTGGAGGGATTGGAACATCGACTGAGCCATACAACCTTTAACCCACAGTCTGTCCTGCCTATAGGATGTATAGGGGAGAGGGGACCAGGATAAGGGTGGCTCAGAGATTGTGGGAAATGACTGGTCCAGCCTGAGACCACTAGAGTGAGCCCACCCCGCCATGGCCTGGAGTGCTAGGATCTAGAGACTGAACGGCCCAGAGACCTAGAATAGAACCAAACACAATTGGAGGGAAAAAATGCCAACACAATGATGCCTAACAATATTCTGCTCTACTCATAGATAGGTGACTACCCCAATTGTCATCAGAAGCTCAAGGTTGTCACTGGCTACATTGTGAATTCAAGACAAGTCTGGGATACTTAAAACTGTCCAGAAAGAAAAAGATAAAAGATAATGAAAGGAAGGAATAAAAAGAGGGAAGAAGGAAGAAAGGGAGGGAGAGAAGGAAAAAGGAAGAAAGGAAGGAAGCTACAAGAACATAGCTCAGGATCTTACTGAGATCACCAAATTAGTGAGCAGAGCAGAGCAGACATCCTTTCTTGTCGCAGGTTCAGGAGAAACCAGTCCACGTTACCCATTTGGTATAAAAGTCACTGCTGGCTTTTCACAGACAGGTGTTATCATGGGGAGATTTGATCCTACTGCTGCTAATTACTTCAGGGTTTTCAATCATGAAGGATGCTGAATTTTGTCAAAACCTTTTTTATATCCCTTGAGATGACTGTGTAACTTGTCTTTATTCTGCTTTTTAGGCTGTACTACATTAACCCATTTGTATTCCAGCATCCCTGGAGCGAAACCACCTTACTCCTGGGGCTTTAGCTTTCTCTTCTGTTATTTAACTTGAGTTGTGGTATTTTACTGAGGACTTTTGCACCTGTGTTTATCAAAGAAATTGTCTGTAGCTCTCTCTGCGTGTGATATCATCACCCAGTTCTGACATCAGAGTGGCTGTAGCTCCCTTCCTTCCCTTCCAGTTTTGTGGGATAGCATGAGAAGGTCTTAGCTCTTCGTCGGAGATCTGGTACAATTCAGCAATTAATCTGCCAGGTACTTTGTCTTTGTTGGGAGACTGTTGCTCCTCCAGTTTCAAGGCTCACCATCATTTTTAGGTTGCTTATATTCTCTTGGTTCACAGGTGTCAAAAATTTATTCATTTTTTTCCTAGGTTTTATAATTTATCAGGATATACATTTTCAATAATCCTCTGGATTTCAGTGGTATCTATTAATATTCTTCTTTTATGTCTAATTTAAAAAGTTGAGGACTTCTCTCTTTTGTTTAACTTGCCTAAGAGTTTTCCAATTTTATCTTTTCAAAGAATTGTTTCTCTGATATTCTGTATTGTTCTTTTAACCTCTGGAACAGCTGGAATTACAGGCACACACACCAACATGGCTCCTGCTTTTCGCTGTGTCTTACGGTATTAAATGATCCCTCCATCTCTAGTTTCCAGGTGACTTTCCTATTTCTTCTTTATTTATCTTTTTTTAAACTTTTTTGATTCTTTGTGGATTTCATATCATGCATTTCGATTCTACTTTATCTCCCCACCCTCTGCCCTTACAACCTCTCGATCAGAACCAGACTTAGAAGAAAAATCAAAAACCAAACCAAACAAACAAGAAATGAATCCTGTCATGGGAAGTGTAGTGTGACCCATCGAATCACACAGTTTACCCTGTAGTCCGTTCACCTCTACTTGCAAGTGTTCATTGCCTCGGGTCGTGGATCTGGCTGGAGGGCTCTCATTTCTGCTGCACCACCGATGCGGGGCTCTCGCTGGAGCTTCTCTTGGACATCCTGCTGTGGTCCTGGGTCAGGGAGATCCTGCTGTTTTGTATCTGTAGCTTTTTTCCCCTCACATGCTCCATAGGTCCACGTGCTTCACGATTCATAGATTTAGAGGATGTTGGGGTGGACCAACTCATAGCCCTGGTTCTGGGCCTCGGTGGTAGCTGAGTTGGGCAGCCCAACAGCTTTTCCTTGTCATCACTACCTGGGTGAGCTCTCCAGCCTTGGCTAGATCACCCAGTGCAGCCTGCAGCAATAAGCAAGGCTAGTTCTCCTGCTCTCGGGTCCGTAGATCCGGGTCCCCCATACTCACATCATCAGGCCCAGGTCTACTGATTTGCACAGGAGAGAGGCAGGGCCCTCCCTCCCAATTGCTGTAGGAGGCATATGAGGGTGGGCAGGGCCAGCTCTCCTGCTCTCAGCCCTGTAGGGTCAGCCACCTGCATCCCAACTACAAGGTCAGCTCTAATGTGCTGCCTAGGTGAGGTCCATGCCTATACTGAGGGGTGAGGACAACTCTGTTGTTGCAGTATCCAGTGAGGGGCAGGGCCAACTATCTCAAAGCCAGTGAAGGAGTGAAGGTCAGGGCTAGCTCAGCACAGCATGTTTCCAATGACTCCTTGTGCTAACATGGGCCATGGACATCATCACAGACCCCAGTTGCAGCAGGACTATGGACACAAACATGACCCTTGGCATCAGCCCATGCCTAGATGATTCCAAGGCTCCAGGTGGCAGCTCCAGACACCCAGATCAGCATGGCCCCAACAGTGGCATGGTCCTCAGACACCAACATGGTCTGAGGTGGCTGAAAACAGGACATCAACTCAGACGTGGCCCTCGGCAGGAGCCCTGACCCAGATGACTCCGTGGCCCTGGGTGAAAGCACAGGTCACTCAGATCTGACTGTCCTATTTTTTATTTATACTATGCTTATCAGTTTGGATCATTTAATTTCTGACAGAGGCAATCACTGAGACCACTTTATGCAGGAGCTAAGAGGCCTCTTCTTAGCTGTATTTTCTCTGGTTGTCCCTGCAAAGCTAAAGGCCTAAGGCTTAATTTGTTCTAAAGAAAAAGAAGAATTGCTTTCAAGAATGCACCTAAGTGTGAGTTTCTCTCAAATTGTTTCAAGCAGTGTCCGTTCCTTTGACAATCTCTTTGGGACTTGTTCTGGCTAGTTTTATGTCAGCTTGACACAAGCTAAAGTCTTCTGAGAGGAGGGAACCCCAACTGAGAAAATGACTCCGTAGGACCAGGCTGTAGGCGAGCCTGGAAGGCATTTTCTTAATCTGCGATTGATGGGGGAGAAACCCAGTTGTAGGTGAGGCCAGCCCTGAGCTGGTGGCCTTGGTTTCTATAAGAAAGCGCTTGAGCAAGCCTTGGGGAGCATGCAGTAAGCAGCACCCCTCCAGGGCCTCTGGGTCAGATCCTACCTCCAGGTTCCCGCCCTGTTTGCGTTCTTGTCCTGACTTCCTTCAATTGATGATCAGGGATAAGAAAGTACAAGCCAACTAAACCATTTCTTCTCCGAGTGTCTTTGCTCATGGTGTTTCATGGCAGCCGCAGAAACCCTAACTCAGACAGGACTCATCATGCTCCCTTTGGACATCTGAAATGTTTGAAGCACACAGCCCACGTGAGGCCTATATTAGTTACTCTCTGATGCTGTGATAAGATCCCATGACGAAAGGAAACCCTGAGAAGAGAGGGTTTGTTCTGGCTCACAGTTCCGGAGGGAATGCAGACCACCATGGTAAGAAAAGGCAACACAGCAGAGTGTGAGGCCCACCTGGCAGTCAGGCAGCAGAGATGAGATTTATCCACACACAGGATGAGGATTGGTGAGAGAGAACAGCAAGTGGGGCCGGGCTAGGAAACTCCAAAGCCCTCCCACTCGCAGTGATGTGCCTGCTCTAGCACAGTGTCACCACTGGGAATCATGTGGTCAGCGCAGGAGCCTCGAGGATCCTTTTCCCATTCAAAGCACCACAAGGCTGTTCCCATTCCTATGAGCCGTAAATTTAAGGAATGTCCCCAAACAATTTTATTATTTGATAGGAGGACAGGAAGCTGTCATACTTGTGGTTACATTTCATCACAGGTTAAAAAAAAAAGAGAGAGAGAGAGAGAGAGAAATTAAAATCAGTCAAAGGGAGAAAGGCATAAAACAAACTCTAGAGAAACATCAAATGAAATCACCCATTGTCTCCTCAGTGTGGAGTCAGTACCTTTGGTTTGATTGACGGTCCGTGACTGACCTCAGTCCCCAGCAGGCTTAGTGAGCAAGAGTTACACGTCAGTTAGGCATCCTGGTCAAGCAGGACCCTGCTCACCCTCCATCCACCATTGTCTGGGCTCTAGTCTTCCCTGCAAGGTGGTCTAACTGTCAGAGGCACCACTCTGCCCAGCACTCAGAGTAATGTCTCAGAGAGCTTTCCCGGGCAAGGAAGTCTGCATCTTACATACGTTTGAAATCTCCCTGGAAAACAAGCTCCGGCCTTTTCCTTCCCCAACATGTGATTCTGGGGGACTTCCAATTCCTCAGAGACCATTGTTTTAATAGCCTGATGTCCAAAAGAAAGGGCCCAAGCGTCTC